ATATATAGAACACTTGCAGTATGTACAAAATTAAAACTTGTTATTCGCTACTTTTCTTCTTAGTTGACGATAGAACTGAGAGATCCTCCGCTCTCTTGTTAACTTCACGAGACTTTGATTGCAAGGTACTTTCTTTACGTTTCCTGGTGGAATTTCCACTATTGTCTTTATTTTTATTTATTGTAGAGCCAGGTGGTAACTCGGGTATTAAACCTTTTAAATTTTTCTTGCTTATTTCATACTGTTTTAGGCTGCTACAAGCACGAGAACCCATTCGATGTTCTTTAGGGAGATTTGCGTCCTCACAAAGTCTGCATACTGGTGACTGGCTGCTGCATTGGCGTGCACTATGTTCGCTGCTTCCACATTTATAGCACCAGCCTTGTCTATCGGTTTCTTCCGTGCATTTATTTTTTGTGTGTCCATATTTCCAGCATTTGTAACACTGTATTGGTCTCTTTTCGATTTCTAGCACACGAGCTTCGGACCAGCCGATCATAACTGTGCTGCGTTGAATCAAAGCATGTGCAGTGTCCTCAGAGCATTTTAGCCAGACCGTACCTGTACCTTTCGCATTTTGGCGAACTTTCCCAATTTCATTTATTTGGCAGTTTTCAAGTACTTTTTTTAGTTCTTCTTTTATTTCATCTTCATTGACCGAGATATCAAGATTTGTTAAGAGGATTTCTCTAGTTCTTTTGGGACAGGTAATTTTAACTGCTTTTCCCGAAAATAGTTCGTTCATTTTTTCCGCCAAAATTTCTGTTTTGTCCTCTAATCCTTTGCCTATTTCTAGGATCATTCCACCGTTCAACGAAGCTCTTGGTTTTATGGAGTTTATGCCAATATCGTTTAAATTTATATTTCTTTTCGCCTCTGATAGGATCTGTGGAATAGAGAGTTCACAGTCTTTATCCTGCACTATGTATACTGCAGAGGTTCCTCTAGGTTTTCTTGCCTGAGCAGACCTGGATTTCTTTATGGCGCCGGAGTTAGACGTAGCAGGTAAAAGTTCGTTGGTAACTGAGTTGACTTTGTTCACTTTCCGTTGAGTTTTCTTTCGTCCTACTATTCCTGACCACTGTGTCGGTGGCTGCTGTATTACAGGAACTTCCACAAGCGGTTCAGAGATCGGACCATCGTTACCTTTGACAATTGGGCTGATATACCTATTGTCCTCGCTGTTTTTAGAGGTTTGACTAAACGTAAGCATTTTTTGTATTTCTTCTTTAAATTCGGTAAGTTTTTTGTTTATATTCTGTTCTATTTTGTCATAAATTATGTTAAAATTGATTTCTTTATTTTCAGGTTGCTGGGATCGCGTCGCTTTTTGTTCAGCCTCCGCCGCTTCTCTTTGTGCATTTGCACGTTCGAGTTTTTCAACGCGTTCTCTCAATAAATCGTTTTCTTTTTTTAGCGCAGCTTCTCTTTCGGTAAGTGCAGCATTTTTATCTGCCAGAGCTACAGAGACTTCACGTACTCTTGATACCGCCAGCTTGACAATTTTACTCATAGTTCCTTTCATGTTTTTTGATTTTATTCTTACATTTTCAATGTTGTCGGCGCATTCTAAAAGCATCTCAGAGAGTGTAGTACATGGCTGGAACTCATATTCGTTCATGTCGGCCGTGTCATTCTCATCAGTTTCTGAGGCGTATTCGGTTTCTGTATCGTAAGTCAAATTAACTCTTCCATCACTATGTGAAAGTAAATGTATTTGAGATTGCTTCTTTCGTCCTACAGAGGCTTTTTCCCCAGAAATCTTTCTTTTGTTTCTAGGTACTACCGACGATGAAGGAGTCTTAAAAATTTCAAATTGTCCTGTCAACGGTGAGGCGTCTAACTGTGAACTCGAAGATTGCGGAGGACTTCGCTGTAGAGTGCGACTTGGACGGTGTACACTCTCATAACTCTGAGATTGTAGAACATTATTTAAGTGTGCCTCATCCTCATACATAGGTAAGATAGTTGTACATACTTTTTGGTTGCTAATATTACTAACAACTTCATTTTCTTTTCTTAACTTATTTTGGACATTTAGGGAGGAAGCCATTAATGGTGAACAAATGACGCTTCGTGCACAAGGGAGCGGGCAGGACAGGAAGGGGTGCACCCGCACCAGCATTGTTGCCTGGTACTCTCCGGAACTCCGGGGACCGCCTGCTTCCACTTGACCCTCCCGGACATCGGACGGAGGGCACTCGCTCGTCAGCACGATGAGGATTCCGACATCCTCATTCGGTGTGCACTACCTGGCTAGGGCTCGAAAGGGTCATCTCCTGACATCATACGACGGTAAATGCCTCGGCAGCGTACGCACATCAGCCCGAGACAAAAGCCAGATGGGAACAACCTGACCCGACGCGGGCACTCCCAGCACCCCGCCGTAAGTGCCGGCCCATACATCATTCACACAAGTTCATTCATACACCTAACTATAGATCACTTACTCATCATTCACTCTAATCATAAACCATTCATCCATCATCATCCACACC